ATATTATGTGTAATAATGTCTAATTTTTCCTCCTCAGATATTGGTTTGGCTAATCTTGAAAACATGCCATGCATAATCGATAAATATATGGTTATGTTTTCTTGGTCACCCTGAGTGCGTGAACGAATTTCATTGGATAAACGATAGTCATAATCACTGCTACTAAAATCTTCTTTAAGTAAAATACATAATTCTTCCCAAGTGTTAACTTTATTTTTATTGTAACGATACCAATGTAACGCGTCATCTGTAAAAATTTCAAAAGCCACAGATAAAAGTTTTTCGTGAGATATACCTCTAGATTGTATGAATTCTTCAACTTTTTGTATAAAGGCATGAACGCAAGTTGAACCCGAATATTTTAATTTGGTGATATCGGTAAACAAATTGCGTTCACAGGCACAATACTACACTTCGCTACCATATACTACACTACACTTCTATATACTACGCTTCCAAAAACTATTATACTACACTACACAATAATATTATACTACGCTACACTTATGTATGCTAATTGTTATGGGCGTGCTGAATTATGTTTAAGTATTTATGTCTTATATAATAAGATAGTATAAGTCATGCACTACGCAACACTACGCAATTTTCCATATTGGATTCATGTAAACCTTTATTTAGAAAGCTTAAGTTACTGACAGTCACAGGTTTTTATGTTTTGGAGATAGGTATTTTTGTGAGAAAATATGCTAATTTATTCCAAAAAGCTACCAGTTTTAATGAGTATCCATCTAGAGACACAACCAAATTATTACTACCCAGATGTGTAAGTGACATTTACCACAGAAATAGTCCTTTTATGTTAGTAAAAATATATAATAGAATTCCAAGGAACATAAGAGAACTACCATTTAATTATTTTAAAAGGCAACTTACCGAATGGCTCTGTGATAGATGCTTTTGGGTATGTTCCGATATACACTGTGAGAACTGCGCAGTGGTCTTACTGCTGAAAAATCCGTTCCGTTATGGACTGCCAGTACACTGCTACAGTACCCTAGGGAAATTTATGACGTCATAAATTGCCGCCATATTTGTACTGTGAGCACTGGAGATTTCGAGGTAAGGTGCTCGCAGTGCTTTTGATCACGTGATCAGTCGAAACAGAATTAGAAAATGATAAGTTTCTAAATAAACAAAAAAAATACTTACGTTTATTATAAGATGGATTTAATTGATAAATATTTTTTGTTCCAAAAAGAGGGAATCTTTATATCTATATTCACCTTGCATCAACAAATTTGAAAATGGCGCCAAAAAATAGTATTAACAGTATACTGGACTGCGTTCCGTTTTAAAGAGTCACCAGTATAACTAGCTATAAAGGAACGGGCTTCCAGTATACTAAATTGACGTCATACTGTTCAGTGGTCGCAGTGTATATCGGAACATACCCAATATTCAATTGAGGAATTTATGAATAAATAATAATTAATGCAACTAAACATTCTTTAATATGTACAGTAATAATGACTTAATATTGATACTACTTGATTATGACATAATTTACAATTTACTAATTTTTACATTATTTGTTGTGTTCAATAATTATAATAGCATAGATTAACTTTGACATTTTTATATTTTGCATGTTGAATATTTAGCGTAACATGCTGACCAGTGTACCCTATCCTAACATCTATGTAACCATGTTTCTAGCAAAATAAATTATTATTATTATTATACTACACTACACTTCCATATACTACACTACATAATACTTTTATACTACACTACTTAGGATTGAAATATTTCACCACATTAGTAACGATTTGCGCGATAAGAAGTATTAAAAATCGCCATGTGTTAAATATATATATTTTAATTGAGGCTCAAACCGAATAAATATTATATGTTTTTTATGTTGACAGATGAAACTTCAACCCAAGAAGACCCGGAAGCAAAAACGCGGCGAATTATTACCGCCGATGTTGGCAACACACGATCTGATGATGCCTCAACCCGGGCCAGTGTGACGCTGGCAACACTCTTGAACCAACGGTTCCTAATAAGAAATAACATTCAAAAGGCATATTTTGATTTATTCTCAATGTCTCTTATTACAGTTTAAAATTAAATACATAGAAATTCTTAAATTTCGATTGAATAAATCTACTTTAAATAAAGCTGACGTGCTCAAACGTGTAATGTTAGTTCAGTTCGAGCAGCTATTTAAATTTTTGTAAACATAATGGAATATGTTTTATTTCGAATATATTTCTTTGTTTCATAACAAGTACTGATGAGATGATCTGAATTTTTATTGATAAGAAATAAAATATTTATTTACATAGAGAGTGGAGTTGTTATTTATTAAATTGCCCGAGGTAGGTTTGCTAATCCCACTCTCATCTTTACATTCCCACGCTCTTCAATTGATTCCCACGCTCGTACAATTTCACGCTTTTTATTGTATTCCCACGCTATTTATTTTATTCCCACGCCCGTTTATACATTCCCACGCTCTTCGATAGATCCCTACGCTCGTTTATACATTCCCATCCTCTTTATTGTATTTCCACGACCATTTATACATTCCCACGCTTTTCATTACATTCCCACGCTCTTCATTGCATTCCCACGCTCTTCATTGCATTCCCACGCTCTTCATTGCATTCCCACGCTCTTCATTGCATTCCCACGCTCTTCATTGCATTCCCACGCTCTTCATTGCATTCCCACGCTCTTCATTGCATTCCCACGCTCTTCATTGCATTCCCACGCTCTTCATTGCATTCCCACGCTCTTCATTGCATTCCCACGCTCTTCATTGCATTCCCACGCTCGTCTATGCATTCCCACGCTCTTCATTGCATTCCCACGCTCGTCTATGCATTCCCACGCTCTTCATTACATTCCCACGCTCGTTTATACATTCCCACGCTCGTTTATACATTCCCACGCTCGTTTATACATTCTCACGCTCTTCATTACATTCCCACGCTCGTTTATACATTCCCACACTCTTTATTGTATTCCCACGCTCGTCAGTTTGATTAAAATGATTTATTTCTATATACATCATTGACAAAAATGTTTTAATAAATTGAAAAATAAAAAAAAAAACACATCGAACTCACAGGTTTATTTAAAACATATAAATTACAAACAAACAAACAAACTATTTATCACATTTACTATCACTATCGTAAATTGCCCTGACAATTTTCAGCAACTCCCTCAAGTTCAAGCCGGTTTTAGCCGATATACCGATCACGTCCATCTCCTCCCTCATTCCCTCGTAGTTCTGTCTCGCTTCCTCCAGGTCTATCTTGTTCACGACGACCACGCTCGGCCTTCTGGCTAGATCACTGCTGTACTGCTTTATTTCATGCGTCAACACTCTGTATTGCTGTTTTGGTTCATTGCTCCCATCCAATAAATATATTAACCCTTTGCATCTCTCTATGTGCTGTAAGAATTGTATACCTGAAATAATTAAATAAATATTAGACATTTCACACTTTATCTAGTGGACTAATAAAAAGATATACCTGAAATATATTTATCGAATTTTCCCGCGAAAACGCCAACTTCTGTCATGGCGTCGCTATGACATCAGCGGTGTGATTCTGTAAAAAATCGAACTCGAATTCGAATTCACTCATGTGTCCCGTTCACATATTCACATATATAGTTCACATATTTTAGTGAAGAAATTCCATGTTTTGTTTAAAAATACAAAACAAATTGATTAATTATATGTCTTAGATATTCAATTTCTATGTCATATTAAAATTCACTTCACTTATGCCACGATACGTTACAACCAACCAAGATTGAGCGGATGCCGTTTTGTGAAGTGAACTCGGGTTTGGAATTTCACAGAGTCACAGGGCTAGTATGAGTAAGAGGGGCGTGACGCCACGCGCTGTTTGCGGTCACGTGACACCGATTTTTCATAATTATTTAAAAAAATATTAGTATATTAAACGCTTCCAGATAAAAATATATATATATGTCGCATCATCTTTACGAAGATCGTTTGATTTAGTTTCTTTTATTTTAATTGCTAGTTACTCGATTGTAAGGAGAGCGTGATCATCGATACTTTTAATTTTATTAGAATGGTGACACTGATTTTTGACAGTTCGTTAACAAAAGCAAATTGCCACCATTTTGGCACACATTCTGTTTCCGATCGCCGAGGAATAAAGACATCCGACGACATCACGCTCATCTCTTTATATTTTCGTATGAAAAGTGATAAATGGAACAAATCCACGTTGGTATACACGCCTGCAGTGTTATTTTAAAGATAGTCCCCCGATATGGACCATTTATTTGGGCTTCGTAATAGCCCATTCTGACAACCCGCTGTTATATATATATATTTAATGTAGTTTACTCTACAGCCGTATTATGTAATTCTAAAATATCTAATGCAACCTTCTTCAAAGGTATAGCGATTGTGCTAATGATTTATGGAGTTACGTAACGCTTAAAGTCACAGTCGGCTCCGGAACAAATGATGATTGATGATCTCAGTTGGAGCCGGTAGAAAGATCGCAGTTACCAAACAACTCTTTCATTTGACTTTCCCCAATAGCTGTTAACTTACATTTTTTTTCAATAAAAGAGCTGAATACAAATACGAAAAAGTACAAATGAGAATATGAATTTTGAATATTAATTTACTTTTATACATGAAAGAAAACCGCAAGGGTTGTCATGGAGAAATCAAGAATGTACCGTAGCGACATCTAGTTTGATTTCCGGAACCAATTTTTTTAAAATACTTTCTCATTCTAACTAGCGCAGCGTGAAGTTGGTGAATATCTTTCAAAAGTCAAAGTGAAAACGATCGCTATAGAATTTAAACTCAACGTATCGAAACAAAAACAAATATGTATAATATTCTTCAATAACCTGATGGACAAGCATTAACAATTTTTTTTTCTAGAATAGAACATCTCGTTTCTTACAGTTTTACAACCGCATTTAAAAATCTATCCACAATCTAATGTAATACAAACACTCACCCAGCCCATAGTTCTTATGCGATCCTGGTATCAGCCCGGGCAGGTCCGCTACGGCCACTTGCTCATAGTCGTCATACTGCACCATGCCTGCCGCCAATTGTACACACTAATATAGTAAATCTGTAAATCTATCTGTGTGTAATAGACAAGTTATAACCAGTGGTCGGAATTAGGTAGAGTTATTCATGTACTTACACTGATTTCATACAGCGAAAGAACAAAGTGGATATGCCTCAAATCCCGAGATTAATTTTAAAGAGCAGAAAAAATCACGTGTTTTTTTAAATAAAAAGTTATTTACTTTTACACAATTTAAACTACTGCACGCACGACGTTGCTAAACTTACATCAATGAAAGAAAGAAATAAAGAAATCCCGGGAAAGTCCACATTAATATCAACATTCGATGCAAGTACATAAATAACTACCTAATTCCGACCTCTGGTTATCACGCTTAAACTACTAGAGAAGTTTTAATGAAATCTGCTACATAGAGTGTACTCGGAGAAAAGACATGGGATAGTTTTTATAGCGAAAAATGTGAAGGGGTGAAAATAGGGATGTTTATACAAAGGGGTTGAAATTGGGGATGAATCCACAATGAGGTTGAATTTGGAGATGAACCCACAAAGGGGTTGAAATGGGGGATGAAAATAAGACGGGTCGATTCGATTTCTGCGTGGACGGACAAACTAGTAATAAATAATTGTGTAACAGTTATACGGCGCTGTGGTTAGCATGTTTAGTCTGCGATCCTAAAGTTAAGCAATCTTCGCTGAGGCCAGTCACAGGATGGCGGAGCAAATATTTTATATTTTTTTACTTCTAATGTATGAAGGCACGTTAAGCCGTCGGTCCCGGTTACGTTTGCGGAACGGTCATATCCTCCAATCCGTATTGGGTCCGCATGGAGGGTCACGGTTCATCCTCCTTAACCACCCATAGGGGAGGCCTGAGGACGTAAAAGGGCTAATGATGATGATGAAGCTGATAATGTAAGTTATAAATAAGTCACTAATAAAACAAAGTCGCTCTCTCTGTCCATATATCCCTATGTACGCTTAAATCTTTAAAACTTCGAAACGGATTTAGATGTGGTTTTTTTTCATATATAGGGTGATTCAAAAGGAAGGTTTTTATGTATAATACAAGATCACGCGGGCGATACCGCTGGCGGAAAGCTAGTAGAATGATAATTATAATGGTAATGATATTATGAAGAAAACCCATGAAATGAATGTGAATACAGTGTATCGGCAGACCTATGTGCGGGCGCAGCGTGGTGAAGGGGTAGGGCGCCACGGTGGGGCGCGCGCGGGTGGCGGCGCGCAGCAGCGAGCTCTTGCCCGCGTTGGGGAGCCCCACCAGCCCCACGTGCGCCATCGAGCGCAGCGCCACGCGGTACCGCGCCGCCTCGCCCGCGCCCCCCAGCTCCGCCACGTCGGGGGCCTCGCGCCGGCAATTGTTTGCGTTTTATACTTATAACCGACTTTTGCCCGCGACTTCGTCCGCGTAAAGTTACTTTGAGCAACATTTCTAACGAATATTTAATCATTATATCTGGTAAAATATCTGAATGAAAGTTTCATCCCCTGTTTCATCCCCTTAGGGGTTGAATTTATCAATATCCTGTCTTAGGGGATGCCTTCGTCATAGTAGCTTTATGAATGCAAAGTCTCAGCTCGCTCAGTTTCATATAAAATTTCATCCCCCATTTTATACCCTTGGAGGTAGAATTAATCAAAATCCTTTCTTAGCGGAAGCTTACGTTATAACATCTACCTGTATACCATTTATGGATAAAGTTACACAACACTATAAAATAACAAGCGCTTTAAGTTGCCCGGACTGCGAAAGGTTCGAATTAATGTATATTCGAGTTGATTTTTAAAGCGTTTTTCATTAAGAATATTCTTCATTCCATTTTAAAACTTAATACATTAAGGTAGAGGTCAAAATCTAATGCAGAAAGTGCAGACGCGTACGGAACTGAGAATGGAAGTCAGTGCCTCAAATATTTTGTGTAAACAAAACATTTTTTTTATATAAATCGACTTTTAAAAAAGTATACACATAGATGTCTTCTCTAAATCAAATCAAATCTAAAATGAAATCTAAAGTGAAGAACAGTATTTTTTTTTGTCTTTTGAATGATTGCAGATTAGCACTAATAAACTATGTTTTTTTAAGTTTAAAAACTTTCAAAGTAAAACTTACCTGTTGTGTATCGGTGAGGAAGAACTTATTCCCCCTCCCACCAGCGCCCCCCCTCGCTGCCACGAACATGACTCCCTCTCTGTCGAGGTCCGCCACCACTGAGCCATGCGGGTCCTTCACTATAGTACCTTTAGAACGAAACAACAATAGGCTAGTTGAAAACTTTTTTATTGAATAAATAAATGGACTATTTATTTATCTGAGAAATAATGTAGAAGTAACATCATGTCTGCGATTAATAGTTTCGGAGATAGTGTTTGTGGAACTGCTGCTGGTCGGCATATAAAGCTCCATATATACATATGAGCTAGATGTCGCTACATCATTTCTTGATTTCCCCATGACAACCGTTCTGATTTTATATCTTTCACATATAAAAGTAAATTAGTTTTCAAAACTCAATAAGCAACTCATATTCTATTTGTACTTTTTCGTATTCGTATTGATATCTAAGTTTCGAACTTTGCAAATTTCAGTTTTTTAATATGTTAGTTAAAAGGAACAGAAATGACTGTCTTTGTTCTATTTGTTTCCTGCAGAAATCAACTTTTGCTAGAGTCGCCATCTAGTGGAGGTGCTATTTAAGTGCTTTCTAGTTTTAAAATCTATCACAGTACCTTTTAATTTGACTGTTGCGATCACAATTATTTCTTGAAAGATATTGAATGTACAATATGAATAACTTGATGTTAATTCAACATGTGCAGTGTAAGCATTAGACTTTATTACTTTACGTTACTAAGTTTTTATCATATTTCTTGATCATTTAAATTATCTTTAGATTCGAAAGCAATCGTTACTTTAAATGTTACCGAATTCCATAAATCGCTATACTTTTGAAAGGCTTGCGATTGATTTTGAAACTGGACAATTAGGTCACTAGTTAAATCCAGTAAGCTATAGTATTCTCTATACATTATGAATTACCTAATGGCACTGGTACGATGACGTGATCAGCGTTCTTACCGCAGCAGTCTTTGTTGTAACCCTTCTCCCCATTCTTAGCTCTTATCACTGAATTTAAATGATTCAAGCTTCTAACTTTGTGTGTGGCCTGAAAGTTATTCAAAAGAATAAGTCTATAGTGTAACATGTAGCTTAATGATGTTGGTTCAGTTTTGCATGGTTTTGATTAAGCTTTTGCTATTTTGTAATAAAATCAGGGTTGAACTTGACATTGAGTATAAAGCAGACACTCTATCCTGTGACTATAGACTGTGATACATATTGTTTACTTTCAAGTTCACATATATTTTCTTCAGTTTTTTAATTTCTAGGAACAGACTTTATATAAAATGATTGAACATATTTTTATCAATATAGTTCTTTGATTTATACTCTGCGAAGCCACACCGTTTTGTGTTACTGTGTTGTTAAATAAGTCTTTCTTTAAAAACAATACATATTACTAAGTCTCTGCTGACCGTTTGTCACCAGGCTATATCTCATGAACAATCTAACGACCCAGACAGTTGAAATTTTCACCGATATTGTATTTCTGTTGCTGCTATAACAACAAATAATAAATACAGAATAATATTAATATTTAAATTGCCTCCCGTATAACAAACGAGTTTTTTGTGTTTCTCATAGATAGTGGTACAAAACCCATCATGCGCCAGGACAATTCGCATTTGGACTGTTTTTAATAATAACAAAGTAGATAGTGATTGTCTGTAAGAAAATGAGAAGCTTAGTAAAGGCGAACTAACGATGAAAGAGATTCCATAACAAAAACACTGCAACTTATCTAATTGTGTATTAGGTATGTAAATTTTTTACTTGAAAAATAACGTGCCCGCCGTGACCTCCGTCGCCGCCGTCGGGACCAGCGTGTTCCTTACACCAAGCACTAAGGAACGAAATACACCCATCGCCACCGTTACCAGCCTCCACTCTAACTGCACAAGAATCTATGTAGAACTGAACAGAATCCCGCGTAGATTTAGCTTTTATGCTTCTCAGAGGTTGGGGGGTATGATTTTGTGAGTAACACAGCGATATCTGGCATGACTGTGATATTTTTATATGTTTAAACAGGTTTCTGATAAACATCTTTGCATTTTAGAGGTTATGAGAATTGTCAAAATATTGTTTGTTAAAACTTTTTTTTATTGTTGATGAGATAGGAATTTATGTTCTTACAGCCATATATATAATGTTTCGACAAATTACATAGAACGAACAGTCTCCCAATTGCATTTAAGATTCTATTATTAATTAAGATTATATATTATATTATTGAAGCGGTGCTCTTTTGTTACTTATTTTTCTAGAAAATATGATTTACTGTTTAAATGTTATTATTCTGAGATTTAACTCACATATTTCTATTTTTGATAGCCTTTAAGACAACATCACATACATTACTTTTATTATTGTTTCTTTACGTGTAAAGACCACAAACGTGACATTAACGGTATTGTGTAAACGCAAAAAGGTCATGAATTACAAAAGAAGAAGAAAGCAGAAGATTGCTTAGATCCCAAAGTAAGTAGCTACATGAGAATATAAAATAAGAATAGAAAGAATATGAAAAACCAAAGTTAACAGAAATAAAAGACCAAAAATATCAATAAATAGTGTAATTTTTATAAAAATAAATTATTATATCTCCCACATTGATGCAGCTAGTTCACAGCAGTTGTGTATTTTGGTCAGTGGCTGCTGAGTTCACGGGCCACGACGGACTGACCTCTACCACGGTCGCTGGACGACGAGATATCTGCATACAGATTTAATATCAATATATTAATTATAAGCAACTTTAAGGATGGGTGACCGACAAATTATTATCTCTCGCTGCTACGTGCTTCGGAAGGCACATTAAGACATTGGTCCCGGCTGCATTTGCGTTGTTAATACGCTCCAATCCGCATTGGGCCCGCGTGGAGGGTCATGGACGTCTGCGGACGTAAAAGCACTGATGATGATGATACATTTATAAACCTTTCATATCTTAATTTTTACCTTACTAAGGTTCCATAAGATAAGTGTTTAATCTTAAACGAAAATTGACTAATACTGCTTTAAGATCAAAGTTTTAAAGACTCTTAAGAAAACGGCATGCAAATATTCCATTTATTGGTAATACCATAAAAAAAGCCGAACTCTTCAGAGGGGGTCACGACCCCATATTCTTTATTTTAGTGGGGGTTATAAACCCTTGTAGTTAGGGTCACGACACCTGAAACCAATAACAAGGGGTCGTGACCCCCATAACATGATATGAGGGGGTTATGACCCCAGTACCTTTAAAACCTCTACCCAAAACATACAAAATTAATAATTGGTAAACAATTGTGAGTGTACCTTGTGTTTGAGATGCACCAGTCTGTTGTGATTGTACAAAGCGGCCTCGTAACCGAAGGTCGCCTCGCATTTGTTACAAGCGAACGGACGCTCGCCGGAGTGGGCGCGCAGGTGACCCTCCAGGGTCTTCTTGTTCTGTATTTTAAATTCATTGACTTAACATATACGTACGGCACATCAGACGTAATATATAATACATACATTAATTCCTTCATTATCAGTCTATTAATATCCTCAGGGGCTCAGGCGTTCCCTATAGATGGAAACAAATTGAATATGGAGAATGGGTCATGACCCACCACGTGGGTCCGATGCGGATTGGTGGGTATTAACAACTGCAGATGCAGCCGGGACCGATGGTTTAACCTGCCTTTCGAAACACGGAGGCGCTCGACATATTAAAATTTTCCGGTAACCCATCCCGCGACCGGCCACGGCGAATGTTGCTTAGCAACCGTATCGCTGACCACTGCGCTGTCGAGTGCATCTAGTTCGGCATTTGTGGGTGACAGACGCTGACGATGATATTCTAAGGGACCCTTTACACTTTTGACATATGGATGCCGCGGTACAATGTACAGGGGGAGAAAGAAAAGTATTGTCACCTTAAAGTCCAATTTAAATCAAAAAGAGTATGTAATGATTTGCCGTGTGTAGCCAATAGTATAAGATTCAACTATAGTTCTATAGCAGCTTCTTTAAGATTACAATTTTATGGTTATTTAGTCATAAACTAAATCAAAAAAATTTACCAAAGCGGGATCTTTTACTTTTAAAAACAGTGACAGAATTCAAAAGAAGAAACTTTATCATCTAGCTTTCCTCCAGCGGCATCGCCCGCGTGGTTTGTATTATACACAAAAACCTTTTGAATCATCCTATCTATAAAAAAAAAACCGCATCAAAATCCGTTGCGCAGTTTTAAAGATTAAAACATATTAATGGATATAGAGACAGAGGAAGCGACTTTGTTTTATACCAGAGGTTCCCAAACAAATTTTATCTCGTAGACCATTTTAAAAAAATTACTAGCTTCGGTAAACCCCCTGTTGCTATATTTTTACCATACTCCCAAAATTTGTTCAAAATGTGAAGATCTATCGATGGAAATTGGCGACCTATTTTTATTTCACGCCAACTTAGACTCCCGTGGAACCCTGGGGGTCCACTTGGACCACTTAGGGAATCACTGTTCAAATCAAATCAAATCATTTATTGCATGTCACATTAAAATTATAAGATAGTAATTATTTTGTTGCTCGTGTACATGTGACGCCCTGTAAGGGCATGGCAATGTTACAATACAATACAATAAAATAAAATACCCAAAATTAAATAATATTAGAAATTACATGTCAAGAAACTTATAACCAGAGGTCGGAATTAGGTAGAGTTATTTATGTACTTGCATCGAAATGTTGATATTAATGTGGACCTTCCCGGGGTTTCTAATGGGCAATCCCGTGTGGCCAACAATCTTACAACTAAACAATAATAACAACGTCAGAGATAGACAAATAAAACAAAGATAATTAACATAAAATTTTTATTAGTTTACATTAATTTACAATAAATATTATTGATAGTCTTAAGCAAATTCTAATATGCATATTTCGTCTTTTTTATAAATACGAGCGAATACTCTTGCTTGTAGTCTAGACTCATAAAAAAAAATTGATTTCGGGATTTGAGGCATATCCACTTTATTCTTTCGCTGTATGAAATCAGTGTAAGTACATGAATAACTCTACCTAATTCCGACCACTGCTTATAACAATATATATTATCAACAATTAAATTAAGACTGTTTTATAGCATGCAGTGACGGTGGGGGTGTACAGTGTACAGTGTAGAGTGTACAGTGTAGAGCACACTTACCGTGTAGGCCTTCCCGCAGCTGTGGCACACGTGGTTGCGCGCCGCGCGCACGCGCCGGTGCACGGCCCGCGCGTGCGCGCGCAGCACCGGACGCGACGCGCACGACTGAGCGTTATACAGGGTGTCGCGTTATACAGGGTGTCGCGTTATACAGGGTGTCGCGTTATACAGGGTGTGCAACACTGAACTCACGACACTATATCTTATCATGATCCCATCGCTCGTGTGTGTTTAAATTATAATGAGATCCTTCCCGGTTAATCGGGCATTAGACATATTTAATGGCGATCTATTTAAATTCAAAAAATTAAAGAAGTCGTGGTAGACCTAAATGTCGCATCTTTTTAATTCATCCAGATTGATATATCTTATTTTTTCTGATTTTGTTTTTCATAATAGTAGAAAAAAAAATCAATTTTTTCTTTATTATATCTCATTGTGTCCTTCAAACACCTCTAGGATATTAATTTAGTACTACACAGTTGTTACCTATTATTCATATTGTAAGGTTATAGAATGAGTGTAAAATTAAAATTTGTAAAAAGATAATAGCAGAATGATTGGTTGTATGAGAGCGAGACGTAAAATATGTACCCTAAGAGTAAGAGGGACGCATAATAAAGATCATTATGGCCTTTCATTTACAATATATATTTTAATTAATGTATGTTGTGTTTAAAAAATATTATCAGCAGTCTCATCATACTACTGAAGATTGTATGTATATATACAATTCTGTATGTAACAGCTGATATTGTTCACTATGTTTAACGCCTTTAATGCAACGACATGAAAATGAGAATAGGGTTGTCACCTTTTTGAGATACAACCTTATGATATTAGAATAGTATTCAGAAATTGGCACGAATAGCAACCCTGTATACGAAACGCGTGCGTCTGTGTAATAACCTTATTCGTAGTTGACGCGAGCTATTTCATCGAGCTAATATTAGAGCGAGACAAAGCACATACGAGACATTGCCATACAACTGAAAAAACTTCGCCAATGTTCATACAAAATCGTAATACATACAATCTCCAACTGTTTGCTTCTGATATAATTTTCGTAAATTCAATGTTGCACTCATATTAAATTGGTCAGTATATCGCACAACTAGATCTAATGATCTAAAATTCAAAAAATTTATGTGGAGGTCTGACAATACATTTCTTTACGTGGCAGGAGCGCGACCACTGTTGATTCAACAAAAGAAAGCTAAAGTTATCTAGCGGCTCATCCCCGAACCTTTATTGAATCTGTTATGTTGGATAGATGCGTATGATCACCGAGTATTTGAATATTGTACTAAGTCAAAACGTTTTCAAAATTCAATAAACAACTCATATTCTATTTGTACTTTTTCGTATTTGTATTGTACTTTATATATATTTGGTCCATTCGTTTCCTGCAAAAATCAACTTTTGCTAGAGTCGCCATCTAGTGGTGGTGCTTTTTCAGTGCCACATTTTATGATTGTCCGTTACAATATTACAAGTCTATTCTAATCTATTAAGTCTAATCTTGGCGGTTCAATAAAAAGCAAGTACAAAGTCTAGTAAAAATAAACATTTAAAATTAATATCTTTTTTACATTAAATTCCAATTCTTGACAAATTCCCACAATCACATACGTGACTCAAATTCTAAATTAAATAGCTAAAGTACTCATTACGGGGTATCAGAAGCAAATAAGAGACCACGGCACCCAGACCCGAGACAATATAGAAAAGTTCATCTTTGAGCGGGACAAAAGAGATGGTGACAGCTTAATACCGCGCGGGGTGTAAACACAAAACACTGATCCCGCCAGTGAGATAGATTAAGAAGGATAGAAAATCAAGAGTCGAAAACTATTTTTTTAATTAAGGTAGATGCACCAGTCGCACACCACGAGCCAGTAG